AAATAAAATTATTTGAAAGGTTTTAATGAATAAAATTTGTAATTCCATTTTCTAAGTAAGAGAAACCAGTATTCAATTATATACTTTTTTTTTACACAGAACTTGCCCAGTGTGTTATTTAAAGTGTGTTTTAGTCGTATGAGCCCTCATTTATAATCGCCAAGAATTATTATTGACAAGAAATAAAATACAGACCCGGTGACAGAAGCAAAGGGGACAGCTTCTCAGGATCCCGTTGAGAATGACTATACGGACTTATATATAATGCTAAGATCCGGGATTCGAATCCCAGTGGTGAACAAAATGCAGATAGCTTATTGTACACATTTGCACTAAAATATAAAAGTTTCTTTAAGGGTCAGGCGTAGTTCATTGATTGGCGTGCCTTAACTGTGAATACGACGGTTCATTGTCCATTTTCCATTGCCTCAAAAACACGCTCCGCACTTTTGGTTTGTGGGTTCGCTACAAGAGTAACGGTTAAATCCCATTGTTTTGTCATACAATGCTATTCCAAATCGAAATTAGGATCGGCTCTGAAACAATCTCTCTTCCACTCAAATTAATATTTTGTAAATATAAGATTCCTGAGAACTAATGTCCTCAAGAATATAAATTAGAAATATTAGTATAAATGCTTTAGCTTGGATGTTGTCATAACATTTTGTTTCAGTGAAAACGTAATTGAAATTCTGACTAAGATAGGAAAATGTGAAAGTACGTGCAGAATCGCGAGATTGGTGTCATTAATCATTTTATAAATTATTTAGGATATTCCTGACAACTAGTCATCTCGTTCGAATTTTATTAGACAAATGAAATATAAAGACCTAATGTAACATAATTTATATGTCCGTTGAGAATGAAACTAATTTAAATTTGTTGTGCTTCATTATGTTTTCTCGGAGTAAGTTAATGATAAGAATTCTATCTCACGGGAATCGGTAAAAGTTGCGCTTGCGCTGATTAAATATTTTCACTGTATAGCAATATTTTATAAGCAAATGTATTTTTTTTAGATTAATGAAAATTACAAAAAGAGCTTCCCAAAAACTTGGCAATTTTATCTTTAATAAGTTAGCTTGCGATACTTAAGTTATAAGCAGTAAAACTAAAATTATTGACAAGTTTGGCCAAAACGTTTAATATGACAAGAAATAAAATACAGACCCGGTGACAGAAGCAAACAGGACAGCTTCTCAGGATCCCGGACAGATGGGGTAGATATTTGCAACAGAAAGATACCAATTACCTGTTTTCTGCTGTTATTAACAGGATAAAAAACAAAAGCGACATAGCGTGTGTGTGTGTATTTTTTATAGTAAAGTCTCATTGGGCTATCTACTCTGTCCACCGAGGGGAATTGAACTCCTGATTTTAGTGTTGTAAATTCGTAGATTTACCGTTGTCCCACCGGGGGACAGGGACGTAGCAGCCAGTAGTCTTTTTCTATAGACCATTGACTGTTCTGTCCTTGTTCTGTCTGTGGACCAAAGAACATGCCTTTGTTCACAGAAGTAACTGATATTTCAATATCCTGCAGCGTTCGTTTCGTCAAAAGAAGCAACGACGAACGCCAAATAAACAAGTGAAATCAGGGGATCAATTTGTACCTGACTGAAAAATAACAAAGGATGAAAAGCAAATTCAAGGAGAAAGGTTTGAGTTTTTTCTAAAGCTTGTTTTTAATTATGCACAGAGCTACACAATGGGCTATCTGTGCTCTGCCCACAACGGGTATCGACAACCCGGTTTTTAGCGATGTAATTCCGCATACATACCGCTGTGCCACTGGGGGGCTTTTTCTAACACCCACTTCCTTTTTTTAAAAAATATCTCACACCGTCTCATGTGCTTTTCTATCTCTAGTAAATAACCTCAATTTCCACGATCCATTAAAATTAACTGATGTTTATGTTTAACGTTTAAACACATTGAAACAACTCTGATTAGTTTACTTCTCGTCGGTTTATGATTTGAATTTACTTTCTATACTTTAACACTCTCACAAAGAAACAAAACACTACCAAATTCTCAAGCTAACACTTGGAATTCCGTATATTAACGTTATCGACATTTAATCACAAGATCGAGAACTTGTTGAAGAATTAAGATTAGACAAATCTCAAGGGTCTAATGGTTAAGGCGTTTGACTCGTAATCTGCAGGTCGTGGGTTTGAATCCCCTCCACATGTGATATGCTGACATATCGTACGTTTTCTAACTATTTCGGTGATATTGAAGTTTTTTTGTTGTTATTTTTTATAGATTTTTCATTTATTCAGTTTTCGTGCTGTAATGACGGCAACTAGTGGTCCATAATACTCCTTTTCCAGTTTGTTTCCTATAGTAAGTGATGTCTATTATGTCCGATAGAATATTGTAGTAATATATTGCATCAAGATCAAAAAGATTATTGACGAAATTGACTCAATGTAACAGCCGACAAATGCTGTGAGGAAACAAAGGTCACAAAGTGACGCCGTCGACTGGACAAAGAAAGCGAGTTTAGCTGTACATTTTGGCGATCTTTCTTTGGCCAGTTTTACCAGGAGGTTATAAAGTTTGTTGTTTGTTTTTGAATTTCGCGCAAAACTAAATACTGATTTATAATATCATTGTGTTTATTTCGACAGATAGGAAGCTGTGGGACAAATCACAGCTTAATAGAAGCATTTGTATTTTCATGTGTGCAAGTACATACGCTGAGTTTTTTTTGTTTGTACAATAATAAATACTAGAGGGATGCAGCTAGTCATCACCACCCACCGCCAACTCTTGGGCTACTATTTTACCAACGAATAGTGGAATTGACCGTCACATTATAACGCCCCACGGCACAGATTGCGAGTCGAGCGCTCTAGCCCCCTGGCCATGCCGAGCCATTCTATAAAGACTCATTTTTAATGTCATTGTGTTTAGTTCGACAGAGAGATAGGAAGCTGTGGGACTAATCACAACTTGATAGAAGCATTTGTATTTTCGTGTGAGCAACTACATACGCTGAGTTTGTACAATGATAAAGGTTTTAATTTTTACCAATTTTGTCCAATTTTATTATTTTACATACACACTAGAAAGACTCAGTTTAGTTACCTGATCAGTTTGTTTGTTTGAATTTCGCGCAAAGCTACTCGAGGGCTATCTGCACTAGTTGTACCTAATTTAGACGTGATAGGCTAGATGAAAACTCCACTCACAACCAACTCTTGAGCTACTCTTTTACCAACGAATAGTGGGACTGACGATTACACCATACCCCCCCCCCACCACACACACACACACACACGCTGAAAACACACGCTGAAAAGGAGAGCATGTTCGGTGAAGGAATTCGAACTTGCGACCAGCAGATTGCAAGTCGAGTGCCCTAACCACAAGGCCATATCACTTTCATTTTCTGAACGAACCTGTATATTTCTTCTTGAAAATACCACAACAACCGAACGTGCTCGCACTTTCAACTGTGGGGTCGTTATAAGTTACAGTCAATCGATTAAACTAGCCCAGGAGTTTGCGTTGGGTGTTTTGACTAACTGCCTTACCTCTGGCCTATCATTTATGGATTACTGGCGCAGATAGCCCTCGAGTTGCTTTGCGCAATATTCAGCATACAAACAAGCAAATCAGTATCAAGCCTCAGGACTTGTTCGAGTGAACGTTTACTTTGTTTCATCTACGACTGTATACAGAAAATTAATATATAATGCACAGTTAATCATTGATGGCATATTAGAAATAACTTTCATGATATTATATAATCTACTTCTAGTTATTTGTATATCCCCTTCAGTAAATTGTATAATATAACCAAATATTTACTTCCTAAAGCTATAAAGTTGCATTAATTAAGAAATGGTCATGGACTATGCACCAAGTTTTTCATAAGGAAAAAATTGCCGCCAAATCAATATCTGTATCCAGAACACAATGAAACAAGGATGGAAATTTTCGTTGGGGCATTTGCCAAACAGAGCAGAAAAGCTTTGTTGAAACAGGGCCCCTTCAGCATATCAGATAAATGTTCTATCAAGATATTCAATTCACAAGAATAAAATAAAAAATGAGATGTTCATTGAATCAGGCAAAGTGTAATGCATTTATAAACCTTTTGATAGAATTTGATTCTGAATTTCGAACACTTGTTGAACTTATAAAAGCAAAATTTAAGGGCCATGTTCAGATGATTACGTCCGATTATACAGCATTGAACTCTATAAAAGTACAATCAAAAAAGACATTTATTTGTTTGTTTGTAATTATGCACAAAGCTACAGAATGGATTATATGTGCTCTGCTCACCACGGGTATCGAAACCCGGTTTCTAGCGTTGTAAATCCGTAGACATATCACTGTGCCACTGGGGGGCGAAACATTTGTAGTCCTTCATCCATTACGTTCTTCCATGACAGACCACCATTACTGAAATATATTAAACTGTGATAAGCAAAGCCTTAATACGTGTAATATATATATATTTCTAGCTGTCATTTACTGAGGTCAGTTTACGAAAAAGCTAATGTATATGTGTGTATATATACAGACACAAACAATGTATATTTTACCGCTTATGCTCATAAGCTCCAAATAAAGATAACATACTATGTACAAAAATGTTTAAAAAATAACGAACACCACACTCCAACAAATCCGTTTGATTATTTGCACGTTGGCCTCAAGATAAGCAAACAATCACTTACGAGACCATAGCAACTCCACGTTTTCCCACGTGCTTCCCTGAATAACTTGCTCAAACCAATTACGATTGGTAATACTTGCCTACGTCATATAAAGTAGGCGCGGCTTATGAATGGACGTTTATTTTCTATCCCTTTTGCGGCTCATGGCATATTAAAGCGTCATTCTGCAACATTAAAGAAATCTATTGTTATATATTCTACCGTAAGGTGGTGCTACTAGAAGCAGATGTTCTCATACAATCAGCTAACGTTTTTGCTGTTTTCACATACTGTAGTTAGTAAGTGATGTGTAAAGTCACCGCTGTTACTGATATTTTGAATATACTTAATAAAACTAAGTACAGTTTCATGATATATAATCGCTCAGAAAACCAACGAAATCACTAGAAGACAACAAAATTGGGATAGAAACAAGTCAACAGGTTCTGGGTTGAAGTAAGAAGTGAATGAGTGTTTTTCACTTGTACGTGGAGAAGCAAGCAGCAAAAACACGTGCATCCTGCTTTCAGTCCACACTTAACTGAACCTCGTTCTCCCGTCCTGTTCGACTTCTCTTATTCCGATAACAAGGTAAGTATAATTAAGAACAGAGATGTTAACGTTCAGTAAGTGTAGTAACGAGGCGGAAGATTTAACTCAATGACCTTCATCAAGAATGATATGTTGATTTGGTTGTCTCTAGTTAAAATGTTGACTATTTATCAACATCTTCTGATCAAAAGTGAACTAACTTTATAGCTTAGAAATAAAAATTATATAATAAATGTGTGGATTATAAGTGGGTGAAGTTTTCAAATGTAAGAGAAAACTAGCACCCACTTGTGCCAGCCTGGTGCTGAGATATTTAGAAAAAAACATAAGAAAAATATTTCGGAAATGAATTTGTAAAATATAGAAGACAGATTTAGCAGATATATTTAGACGATTGTTTTTATTTTGTAACAAATAAAGAGAGGATAGACAATTCGTAAATATATATATATATTCAATTCTCTTTAAGACTCCTTAGAATTCACAGTGGAAACTAATAACAATAAACTATCAATTCTTAATACACTGATAAAGAAATCCGGCAAAAAAATCACTATAGGCATCTATTATACCGGTATTGTAGAAGTCAAGAAAATTCCACGACCAGAATTATTACTGAAACCAACTTAAAAAGATGTGGAAAGTGAACAAAGGCAGATCCTTCTTATTACCACAAATAATCCAAATAATTGCAACATATTCAATGTAATCCACACAAATACTAAAATATCAAACACAGTTCAAAATCTGAATCTTATATCTGAGAAGAACATAATACACAACCTAAGGAGGAAAAATAACAAAAAACATTTAACATTTGCAAAGTTTACTAGGAAAAGGGAAGATGTGACATGAGCATTTGTCATTCTTATCGACACGTAACTTATAAATGTCGTACTAATCTGCATCTTATGTCATAATTATGTTATTTACTTTAGAAGCGTCGTACTTATTAACACATATTTGAAAAACTTCATTCTTTTATACACTTTGCTCCTTATTTCAACAATATCTTTCTTAAACGTGCATCTATAAAAAACATCATCATTTATTAATGTAATTTATTTCAGATTGTTCTATCGAAAAGTGCGTCCAATCTATGGAATCTTTCGTATGAAATATATTCAGAGCCAAAGTTTAGAAACATTTAAAATGTGGACTGATTTTTGCAATTTGTTTTCAACAGCTTGTTTTTCACTAGCAACTTTGTTCCAAGAATTCAGCATAAGCCACTTTTTTCATCAATCGGAGTAACCTTGGGGTGGACACATAAGAAAAGTTGTTATTGTATTTTTACTGTTGAGATTATTTTGCATTTTAAGCTTAGTATGTTGATTTAGGACTAACCTAATTCTACAAAGTTGGCCAAACCCTTCGAGGTATTATTGGGTTTACGACCGAAAATGTCTTTAACAATGAGAATACTCAACTGATAAAACAATGCATTATTATAAGTAGAAGCGTAAGAAATGAACACTTGGATAATCGTACTAATTTTCGGTTTCGATTTGACTAGGTTGTCTGCTTTAAACAGAAGTTTTTGGTAATTTCTGATTTCAGGACCACGGTTTTTTACCAATGTACGAAATTCCTAACAGAGCCGAATATAATGTTGATAAAGAACCACAGAATAAAACATTGAGCTCAGAAGGTCCTGAACTCGAGTTTGTCTATCAAGAAGAACGTCACTATCCTTCAGGGAACCATCCAGCCACCGTTGCTGTGGAGAGGCGTGAGCTATCAGCCAAATGCGTAATCTTTACTTATTTTACCGGAAATGCTGATTCGGTTGTGGATGAGCACTTTTCAAGGGCTCTTCAGGGAAAATCAACTGACAATAAGATCACTACAGCTCCATCATCTCTGGTCACTGGTATGAGAAGTTATGTTTCTCGCGAACTTACGAAATAAGCTTATCAATAACAGAAATGTAGCTAATGTACAATGAATAATGAAATGTATAAATAATGTATAATGAAAATAAGTTGTACGAAAATATGTTATATATTTTAGGAAAGCTTTTTTAATAACAATTTAAAGGAAATATTGTGTAACTTCTAGTCCCTTTTGAAAACCTGTGATAGATTAAAAAGTGATGGAAAGTTAACAGTGTTTTTAATAACGAATCAGAACGATACAGAAGTTTCGAAAGAGAAGTGGGTGAAAAGACTAAATAAACATCTGAATTGTTTATATTTCACACCTGAAACTTCATCATGATTATCCATTTTTAAGTCACATATTTGGATATGAAAAGTATAATAAACGTATATTTGTGTATTGTAAGTGAAAATATGTGCGGTAAAAGGGAATACAACAGACCAATAAAAAGAAGACTATACATCAGGGAAACTTGCAATGGTACTTGGTACCAAAAATAGAAAATTAAAATTATTAAAAGATATTTTCATGCTCCTAATAAGTGAACAATGTAGTAAAAAATACTTTCGTATTGATGATTTCTCTGAAAAGATAACTTTTTATGTTTATTCTGTGGAAGGACGAAATTATGTTAACGACATTGCAGTCAAAATCGATTTATAAAATTTAGATTGAAAATTTGTTGTAGGTTTCTTCTACTGTGGCTCATTCGAGTCATTTTCCTATTTAGTTCCTTCTTTGATAACTGGATTGGTGGAGCGTGACGTGGTGATTAGACGCACCGGACTTTGAATTCGAGTGACCATACTTAGCATCTTGTAATCATATAAACTCGGCGCTCCGCAAAAACGCGTTCAGCACTTTGGGGGTGGTTGCGTTACAAGAATGAAAGTCAAATCCCATTATCCGCTTAAAGTAGCCCAAGAGTTGGCGGTGGGTGATAGCTGTCTTCTCTCTAGTCTATTAGTTCAAAAATAAAGACGGTTAAAGTAGATAGCCCTTCAATAGTTTTGCGCATATTTTCGAAACAAAACTATTAATACCTCACACAATTAATTAAACCAATAGTATTTTCGAAGTAAGCTTAATACGTACAATCTCAAAATTTAGTTCTAACTTTATTGTCTGTGGTCTGGTATGATCTGTAAAATTAACACACTCAAATTTAATTTGCTTGCAGTCCCCACCCCCCACCCCTCTATCAAGTACCCTCGATTATTTTTACAATGCTAAGGAGGTGCGAGTAATCATCTCTAAATATTTTGTTTTTCTTATAAATACAATAGCTCCCATGTCAAGACGACATTTTCCAGCCTCGTTTTGGAATTTCAGTTCAGGTCCATCAAATAAAAGTGGAGGATCACAGAATGGTACAGTTTTGGCTACTACCAAAGTTCACGAAGATGTGTCTACTAGCGGCAATGTGACCTTTAAATGCACTTCCTGCAGTTCTCGCTCATCGGTTCCGTTCTATACAAATGTACAGCAAACCGGTCAAAACTACTGGCACTCGATCTCAAGTTCCACATACGCTTATTCGCCGAACAGTTTCTCTCGAGCACCCACCTTTGCATGTTCAGACCTATCATCAGGAAATTATTATCAATCTTCTCAATGGCCTTGCAAGTTACCCTCAGATATCCAATCATTTGTACCAGTCGCCTCGTTCTCTCAGTCCGCTCTAGTTCCGTTAGAACAGACTGGAGATACGTCTATTGGATCGTCATCATACAACAATCAACACCTGCCCAGGAATGTAATAAAGTCCAACTTCAGCTCCATCTATAATCCTACAAGACCAGGCATGTGTAAGTTTATCAGTTCTGTAGCTAAGTTTACGATTTGGGAAAACATGTAAACATAACCTTATAATATACGTATAATAATGGGTGTCGTTCATTTATTTTCGTTTTACTCGACTTTCACAAGAGGATGAAGTTAATCGAAGTATTCATATAATATTACAGTTTTTTCTTTTACTTTTTTGGAGATTTCACTGTTATAGTGAACTGTAGTTCAGATTTAAAATACTTTGGTGTCGTAAGCAAATGAATCTAATTTATTATGTCTGTAACAACCAATAACAGGACTTATTCGAAATATCAAAAATTTAAGCTCAACCTCTGGAATTATTTTTACAAAACCTAATTGTGAAGAAAGGTTGCTTTGGGTTCTTTTCAGAAGCAATTACAGACGAAATTTTAATCACAAAATAATAGTAGGGAAGCTTATGTGGTCAAGGACCGAGAGTAAATTACCCACGATATCCTATCAATAACATTAGTATACTGTTTAATTTTATAATAAATGCTAATAAGTCAATTTTTTGTCATATTATGTGCGTGTAGCTCCCTTGAAACCAATACTTTATTATTTAGTTGTTCATTGTCTTTTCACAATAATTGTCTTCATTAGCTTACACTTTACCTTTGTTTTGTTTTCATTAGTTTTGCACCAAAACGGGAATTTTCTTAGGAGTTTTATTAAAGTTTGGGTTAGAATGATGAAGAGAACAATCACAACAGTTATTCAAATTAAGTTTCAAATCCATTCTTAATTCAAAAATTTATATTTTCTAAACATATTAACGTCTAACCATATAAAAATAAAAAGCCGAGAGATAATGTCCACTGTTTCTTTCATCTAGAGAAATATTTTATGCAGTATAACATAGTTTTATCGTTAAATACTATTATCTCAGCCCTTCTAACCAACAAAGGCTAAGTAATGACTTCCCTCCAGATTTAACCTTTGGGACAGCGGTAACTTTACAGATTTATAACGTTAAAGTCCGAGGCTCGATTCTCCGCATGAGACACAGCAAAAATCCTAGTGTGACTTTGCTCTAAAACAAACAGACCCTACAAGTAGTATTGCCACAATCGAGAAACTGCCTACCTTATGTTCTTATATCAAACTCTGATCACAAAATGAAAGAGAATCGTACTGAAATTAAATCTACGAGTGCTCTACGTCCAGCCCCCCAGTGGCACAGCGATATGTCTGCGGACTTAAGACGCTAGAAATCGGGTTTAGATACCCGTGGTGGGCAGAGCACAGATAGCCCATTGTGTAGCTTTGTGCTTAACTACAAACAAACAAAGCTCTACGTCCAAGCTGAGCCATCGGATTCAATGTTGTACACTGTGTCGCATATTCTTTTTTAAATATTCAAAAGCTACAGCTACAATAAGAAAGTAAATGAAACTTGAAAACGCTCAGTACAATGAAGAAACGAGATAAAAGCTAAAGAAACAAACTCATTAAGAAGCATTTTAAAAGGAAAGGCTGAAAGAGAATGAAAGATTAGTATGTAAAGTCAAATTAAGAAAGTTAAAAAATGTTTTGCAGCAAGTAAACAACTCGCTGAAAGACATTTTCGTTCATTGACGTCACACTGACTTAACTAAAATGATCTTAACTCAAAAGGTGTGAAACACATTGACCTAATAACTGGATAAATCTGGTGCAAACACATTTACAGACTGGTCAACATGAGAACTTTCAATAAATAAATCTGGCAGATAACGGAAAATTTTACCATTCTTTGGTCCTTTTTAAATCCTCGTTGTTTCTTCAAACCCACGTCATCATACGTTCACTCGTCTCAAAAACTTAATAACTTCTACAGTTTTAAACAAATAAAACTACATCGCCATTCTCAATGATTAATATGAATCATGTTAGATGTGAACAAATTGTGAATGATAAGAAAATGTGTAAACATTCTTATACAATTAGCCTCGTCTTGTTCAGGGAAGTTTTTTGGTCATTTAGATATTTTACATAGACATGACTTTGAATGATCAAATGCTGCATAAACACTTGTCACTGACGTAATACTTACATTGTTAACCATAGAAAACAGCCTCGCATTGATGTAATTGACATATACTGGCATATATTGTTTTATTTATTACCTCCTGTAAGTAACCATGTACTCAATAGAACATTAAAGAGTAAATAAACTGAATGATAATTGAAAGAAAAACCCAGAAAATCATGCTTCTAAAATCAATTTGATATTAGCGTGTAAATGTTTTCATACTTCTTTTTTTTTTTGTAAGATATTGAAAAGCAACTGTTCACTGGGACAGAAAGTAGGATGCTTGTTAGCTTTATTAAAATATTTACAATAACATAAAACTTATTTACTCGCCCTAAAATACAAATACATTAAAGAAACAACCAAAGATGACAATGTTGAAAATATCTCAGACATTTTTATAAGATATAGATACAACTAAGTACTTGTGGAGCTTACTCAAACTCCGACACTATGACGGGATCTTTGATGACATTATTATTTTTACTAAAACCATCACTATATGTTGATTCACTGGATGTTGAATGTCCTGTGACAGATAACAAAGTACCAGAGACAAATTCCACCACTTTGCACCCGAACTTGTAATTTTGGGTTAAGCTAAAACTTTTAGACTTAAAATCTCCAGTAATAAAATCGAAATGGTTCGCGAGGTGGTTTTCAATAAATCGAATAATTATAAATTTTGCTTAAATTCATATTAATTTATGCTTTTCACTTGAGGGAAAAAAATTTTAAATTATAATCGTATAATTTTTAACCAGAGATCTTAGGTAGTGAAGTTAATATATTTTCTAATTGTTAAATTATAAAATGACCAAAAGATTATTTTACCAAAAGTACTGAGGCAATGCTTAAAAGTCTTATTTCACTTTATTTGTTTGTGAATCCTCTGGGGATTGTAAAGATCAAAAGCCCCCACGTCCAGACAGTAGGAGTCGAAATGTCTTGAGGAAAAAAAGCAGCCTAAAGACCTTTAAATAGGAAGTGTTTGAATGCAGACATTTAAACCCGCGTATTTATACCCAAATCAACTGCGAAATAACCGAAAGATCACTGGACGTGTTAATATTATAATATTGAACTGATCACTTAAAATTAATTACTCTATAAGAATGTGAAAAGAAATAAGTCATCTGGCATTAAATCCACCACAGGAGGCTAAAGAGAGCTCATAGCTGAAAGACAGAACATTCAACGTGAACAAGGCTCACCATGTTGCTGGATTTCACAGTTGGGCTGTGATCAATACACCACTCATCACAGCCATAAATGCGAGGCGTCACTCCTGGTGAATCCTTGAGATTAAGAGTATGATTCTCCCAGCTCTAGTAATGATCTCTAAGTTAAAGGGGCAGTAATGCATTTAAATTCACCTTCTGATTAGCAATTTGATTTGTTTAGAAATGATAGGTGGGCGGATTTCTCAGTAGCCATCTTCCAATGAAAATCTGGTGTATTGTAACCAATGAAATTCAGTTCTAGGTCAAACCACACAAGGGCACTTCCATAATTGGTCAGTCAAAATCCAGGTTAATTAGTTAGCATACAGGATCAGCTTTCAAATACTTCACTATTATTCTTCAGGAAAATAAAGTGTTATGTTTAATGAGTGTGATGAAATATATTCGCTCGGATGAGGATATCAAGTAAAGTGGATGTTCAATATGAGTTGGCCTTGAGAGCTAGCCAATCATAACCTAGAGTCATTTGTGTGAGGTTTAGTTTTATGCCAAAGATATGTGTAAAGTTCGTAAAAGACTTATGTGGGACAATAGTTATAAGAATTGTTAACTAATTTCTATAAAGATAAAATCAAAAATTAAATTAAAACTAAATTAAATAACGGCAAAAGGCGGTGGGAAATAGAGAAAATAATAATGTAGCTCAATATATATAGGAAATCAAACCAATACAGAGAGAAATTTAAGGAAGAATAATACTAATAATGTAAAAGTAAGTTTAATCATGAATTTAGCTTTGAAAATCTTTTCAGAAACTTGCGAAGGTCAACAATCCCGGGATCGAGATTGATACCATTTAGCGTTACAGTATTTAACAGTGCTATCTAATAAACTTCTTTAGTTTCCCTGTTTCTATTAGATATAAAATTTGTATCTATACCCGTCAGTTTAAAGTCTTCAAGAGAGTGTCCAGGCATGTTAAAGTCTTTTGCGACCGGAAGTACTTTATTTGACACAAATAACTCTATGTTATGATTGGCTAGCTCTCAATGCCAACTCATATTGAACATCCGGTTTACGTGATATCGTAAAATCACTCTCACAAAGTACTATGATGTTAAGAATTGCGCAAGTAGGATTTGGCCATCTAAGAGTCTGTAAATACCAAATATCCAATGGTAAGAAACAGGCTATTGTGTTTGGTTGACAACTGTTGTTCGCTTCCAACTCTTAGTTTTTAGTGTATATTTGTTCAGTGTATAAAATGACGTGTAAATAAAATCGTACAAAAGTGATATGGCATTGTACGACGGTTTTCTTCTCAACCGGAAAAGTTGAAAGAATGCTTTTTTGTCGTTAATGATGAAAAACCTTCTAGTTCTTCTCGACAACTGTAAATTACACAAGGAAAACCAAAGGATACTTTAACAGCTATACGTTACATTTAGTGTTTTTACAGATACCAATATAATTATATGACAAACATCGTATAAAGATCACACTTCTGTTATTAGTACGTGTACAGATACGCGCGGCCTGATGGGCGCTCATCTCGCAATCTGAGTGTCGCGAGTTCGAATACCCGCAATCGAACACGATCGTCCGCTATGATTGTGTGTGGGGGTGGAGTGATACACACATATGTATATCCTTTCGCCCCTCCGATTAGCCTTTTTAGTTTTAACTGGATGATTCTGAAAATTCTTTGACTTTCTCGAGATGCAAAATAACAATAATCACTTAAGAAACGCATCTCATGGTTGTGGCAACCGGGATTATGCTTTAGATTTGACAGGCT